TATATATATCACTACATATTCTACAGAATTATAACTAAAATTCTATGGCAGAATGACTATTAAAATATCCTTAACTCAAATTTTTCTTTAGGTGATGCATAACAACTTTCAGCATTATAATTATTACCAATTATTACCAAAGAAACAATAGAAATTACTCAAAAACTTAGAATGAAATACAGCTTCATTTTGGGGAAGACTTCTCCAGAGAGAGGACTTTTCTAAAATTAAAATTAAATTTTATTAATAGATAGTTTATTAAGTGTAGAATGGACCTTTAGATGAAATAAAAAGAAAGTACCATAATTTAACTTGGAGAAAACAGTGGCTGAGAGAAAGGAACTAAAAAAATATATGCTCACATAGGGATATTTAAAAGGAATTATCTAACAATATTCACTATTTTCATTAAAGAAATGTTTTCCAGATGTGACGAGTGTTTCCCCAGGCCATCCACTGAAAGGTACAGTAAGGATACAGATTAATAGCTGGACAATTGTCTCAGTACCTCAGCCCTCCAATCCATCCAGGAGCCCTGAATAGGTCAGAGAAGTGTGGTAGGGGGCATTTCAGTGCTGCCTCTCCATGATCTGTTTTCATGGGTTTGGTATCTCTCCCTGGCTGACTGCCTGGTACAACTTCTGAGACTTCCAACCCAGACCGACGACTCCCCCTCAAAGGCCTCCTAGGCTGTGGGTGAGAGCCCAGAGCTAGCCTGAAGCCGTGGGTCAGGCATGCAGGAGCCTCTCCCCGGGAACTCACATGCTGTCTCTGCCCCTGGGCACCACATACCATTGTTGGAGGTTCTTTCCCCGCCCAACTCTCTGCCCTCACACTTCCCTCAGTTTCTCTCCACACCGCTGCTCCTAACCTGGGCACCACCATGTCATGCTTCCTGCTTTTTAGGCTGGATTGGAGGTGTCCATTGGTGGTTCCTTTCTGACTCTAGAGCAATCCCTACATGATAAACCACTCCCTCTTTTGCAGGAAGCAGCTCACATCTACTGCTTGTCATTGGTGGTCACTTTCATTTCCAAACTCTCCAATTTTCATCAGCAGGCTAACTTATTTCATTTCCTTCCCTCCTTCGGTTCTTTTCTTCTTCTTCTCCTTCCTGCTCTAGCTGTCATTACACAAGAAGAAAGGAGTTGAACTGATTACTGGAGGAACTTCAGGTACATTTACGAAAATATATGGCTTCTGACTTTTTAATTCTCACCACCAAACCCTTACTGAAGGCTTACTGCATGCACAAGATACTGTTAAGCCAAAGGTCTTTGAACTTTCTCGGTTCATGGAGCCTTTAGTGCCTCACTAATTTTTTTCATGGTGACTTCAGGCTAAGTGAAATGTCTGATAATTCAGTTGATTAAGTAGTAAAGTCCAAAGAATTTAATTATCCATATCCTAAAAACAAAAACAAAACCCAGTAGCCATTTGAGAAAATGCATGTAAAATGAAGAAAATATTTAATTTTTAAACATAATTACTAACATGGGATGCATGTCTACTACACACTTCACAGCTTAAATTCTTAAATCAGACACCAACTCCCTCAATATCCTATCCCACAATGATAGTCACATGGTACTTTTGAATCAGAGAAACTAAACTACCTTGGATTAGTAGTTCATGTGGTATTTCACAGAAGTTTAAAATATGCAGTGCCTCCGTGAGTTTTCTATAGCACCCTCTGGGTACTCATGGTTTGAGTACTATGAGAAGTGTGTCTAAGCACTTTTGCATTATCTCATAATCCTCTCATGGTCATATAAAGTCAGCACTATCATCAGAAGAAGAAATTAAAGCAATGTTACATAGCTCATAAATGGTGTGGCTAGATTCAGTTCCAGAGAGTTTGATTCTGGAGCCCAGGAGAGTCACAGATCTAGGCAGAGAACAGACTCAACTGAGGAATACAATAGAGTATTTCCATAATAGGTTAGGAAATATTGCCCATTGAATATTTCTAGGAATCAATTTCTCAACTATTTCTATGACAGCTAAGCAGAGAATTGGGGGATTTATGAAATAAAGTATCCCTTGTGAAAACAGTATTAAATGCAATAATACACCCTGAGAAAACACTTGTGAAAAAAGTTAAATGTTTGGAAACTTTATTTTATAAACACATGATGCTCATTTTATCTGTAGGCTAAATTACCATCAGTGGGCTGAATTCATTTCCATGATAAATGATAATAGCTTCTTTGAAAGTCATCATTCTAATGCTTCCAAACATCTATTTGTCATGGTTAGTATTCAGATTAGCTGGGTGAACATAGGAAAATTCTGATAGATGTGAGGAGAAGGGAACAAACAAGAGCTCAAGTGAAACAGGACCTGTAACAGTGCTGGGCACAAATAAAGAACACAACAACCATTCCTTACTCACCCTCTTAGTCTTTCATAGTTTTACATAGCAACACTGTGATTAAACTTTCAATATTTTCCCCCCTTGCTGCTTAATAAATTTGACAGACTTTCCTATGTATCAAGAATCTTCCTGGTGGCTCAGCAGCAGAGAATCCACCTGCAATGTAGGAGACACATGTAGGTGCAGGTTCGATTCCTGAATTAGGAAGATGCCCTGGAAGAGGAAATGGCATGCGAGAGTTAGACCCTAAAGACTGAGTCCCGAAGAATTCATGATTTTGAACTCTGATGCTAGAAAAGACTCTTAAGAATCCCTTGGAGAGAAAGGAGATCAAATCAGTCAGTCTTAAAGGAAATCAACCCTGAATATTCATTGGAAAGACTGATGCTGAAGGCTTCAATATTTTGGCCACTGAAGGTGAAGAGCCAACTCATTGGAAAAGACACTGATGCTGGGAAAGATTGAGATCAGGAGGAGGAGACGGTGACAGAGGATGAGATAATTGGATAGCATTGCCAAATCAACAGACAACAGTTTAAGCAAACTCTGGGAGATGGTAAAAGACAGGGAAGTCTGGCATGCTGTAGTCTATGAGGTCGAAAGAGTATGACAGGATTTAGCAACTGAAAGTGAAAGTGTTAGTCACTCAGTCCTGTCCCCATGGACTGTAGCCTGCCAGGCTCCTCTTCATGGAATTCTCCAAGCAAGAATACTGGAGTGAGTAACAATTCCCATCTCCAGGGGATCTTCCTGATCCAGATATCAAAGAACAACAACTTATATATAAAGAGACAAACACACTTTAAACATGCCACACTATCAATTCTTGACTGCTCCTAATGATTCAGGTCAGTTGCTCAGTTGTGTCCGACTCTTTGCGACCCCATGAACCGCAGCACGCCAGGCCTCCCTGTCCATCACCAACACCCGGNCCTATTTGGAACCAGTCTGTTGTTCCATGTCCAGTTCTAACTGTTGCTTCCTGAGCTGCATACAGGTTTCCCAAGAAGCAGGTCAGTTGGTCTGGTATTCTTATCTCTTTCAGAATTTCCCACAGTTTATTGTGATCCACACAGTCAAAGGCTTTGGCGTACTCAATAAAGCAGAAATAGATTTTTTTCTGGAACTCTCTTGCTTTTCCGATGATCCAGCAGATGTTGCCAATTTGTTTTCTGGTTCCTCTGCCTTTTCTAAAACTAGCTTGAACATGTGGAAGTTCACGGTTCATGTATTGCTGAAGCCTGGCTTGGAGAATTTTCAGCATTACTTTACTAGCGTGTGAGATGAGTACAATTGTGCGGTAGTTTGAGCATTCTTTAGCATAGCCTTTCTTTGGGACTGGAATGAAAACTGACCTTTTCCAGTCCTGTGGCCATTCCTGAGTTTTCCAATTTGCTGACATATTGAGTGCAGCACTATCACAGCATCATCTTTTAGGATTCGAAATAGTTCAACTGGAATTCCATCACCTCCACTAGCTTTGTTCGTAGTGATGCTTCCTAAGGTCCACTTGACTTCACATGCCAGGATGTCTGGACTATCTCTCTTTAAAACAAATCTATTGCTTGAAATGCATTTAAAATGTGTATATTTTTAAAATTTTATAAAAGGGTTATTGATGTATACATTTACACTAAAAACAGTACCTTCTTTAAACACATAAAATCACTGTGAAAAGACAAGACAAGCACAAATCACAAGACAAGCAAAATGATTCATAAAATAATTAATACAATATAACAAATGCAAGTTTCAGGTCAACAGTACACTTTGACTCAAGTTACTCCTTTAAAGCAATGTAGAAATGATCCAAAGGTAAAGAATATGTGATTAATAAAAGGCTAGAATCATTTTACACTGAAGTGTATAAACCAAGAATTAGCATCACTTTCAAATTTTCATGCATTTTTTATGTTCCATGTTAATTTATTGACTCTGTTTTGATATGATCATATAATGTTTCTAAAATATTTAAACCAGAATACTTCATGTGTCGCTTCCAGAGAGAAAGCCAAATGAACAACCCAAATAAATCTAGTCTACAAAACTAGAAGCATCTCTAAAATGGCCTTTCATGATCCCAAGCTATCTGTAAACTTAAATATTTTAACCAACAAATTCAAGCCAAGTTTTCATTGTTTCCAATAATAATTTATTTAAATGTATGTATTGTTTTCTAAGTCTTCAAGTAAATTGCTGTTATAGGCAGAGATCCTTAACTGTCTTTCTGTTGATGTTTTTAAACAGTTACATATACCCTAAGGTAGACATATCAGAGGTTGAAAGTGCATTATTGCATCACAGAAAAGCATTGTTGCAGATTGACATGAAAGTTTCTGACCAGGACCAAAGCCCTGATAACAATCTGCCTTTATGAAATGGAGAAATCTTTGAACATTAAAAAAATTTTTTTTCCTGAAGTACTGAAGATGTATTGGTGTGTTCTTGACTCACAAAATATTATAGAAACTAAAAAATACAACAGAATCATGACTTCTGGCCATTGGTGTTCTCTAGACTCCCTGAGAATCAGGTGAACACCTCTGATAACGGGGAGGCCAAGGCTGTTGCTGAAGATAACAGCAGCTCCCCCACAGCATGTCACTGGCATCAGGCTGGGTACCTCACATAGAGGTGCATACTGAACTATTTGGGCTTCCTTCCTCACTGGAGTCACCTGAGCATCCACTCCATCATCGCGCTCCAGCACAACTAGAAATGATGACCTGTCGCACACTGTCTCATCAGGCTGTGCACTCATCCGTTTGCTCATGTTTTCAAGCATTGTTGAGCATGTCCATGTCCTGGGCTTCCCTGGTGGCTCAGCTGGTAAAGAATCTACCTCCAATGCAGCAGACCTGGATTTAATCCTTGGGTTGGGAAGATTCCCTGGAGAAGGGAACAGCTACCCACTCTAGTATTCTGGCCTGGAGAATTCCATGGATGGTATAGTCCATGGGGTCCCAAACAGTCGGACACGACTGAGCGACTTTCACTTTCACTCTCACACTCCATGTCCCTGGTGCTTGAAATGCTCACAGACATATCTGGAAACAAGTATGCTAACACAATGCTATAAAATGAAATAATTTATGAGCAATGCAATAATATTATTAAAACCAGCACCTTTGCTTAATCTCAAATGATTAGTTTTGTACCTGTTTACGGACCACTAGGCCCAGCTGAATAAAGATCCTATTGTTGCACTGATCTTACTCATAAGTGTAGGCAAGACATTAATTTCTCCCTCTAAAGCCACATATCTTAGAGTTATCTGACTCAAAGTGGTTTGTTATCTTTTTAAATTTTTATTCAATCTTGGTAATATTTTACTGCTTGCTTATCATCCAGAACTCTACTTCTCTTAGCTAGAAGTACAGAATCAATATAATTTTACCATGGTTACTCCAAATTTATTCCCTCTAAATTTTCTGCCTCCCCAGATTCTCTTCCTTAGATCATTTTCTTCTTTTGCAAAAAATTTCTCTTCTTAAAAAAAAAAAAACAAAAATGAAGAGTTCACCCAGATCCAGCTTTTTTTTTTTTTTGGTTTTGTCTGTTTATTATTTTTTAAGGTCTTAGCCCAGATAACCATTACATTAAGGAAAATAACCAAATTTCTCAATCTATTTTATAAAACCTTCAGATTCTAGGATACCTTGCCTCTTTATATAGTCTTTTACCTAGTCCCTAGCTGTTTTCTCTTCATTTCAGGTCACTGTTACCCTGTTTCTTCATTTGATCATATCTTTCAATTCTCCCTGTTTTTTTCCCAAGAACATTTCCCATGAAAGGTCTTCTTGACACAGGATTACCTATCTATAGTCCTCCCCATTAACCATCTAATCAGTTCATAACACTCCATCCCCTTATTTCCAACAATGAGCTAGATCATGATCATTCCCACCTACACATTTCTGTTTACACTGTCTCTTTTATTTGGAATGCCTTCCTATCTCTTGTATGAGAAAAATGATTAAAAAAAAATCTAAATGTCTAGCAACAACAACAAAAAATCCATTAATTATGACAGTTCCACACATAGGAATATTGTGCAAGAAAATTCAAGTTTTGATTCTAGAAGTAAAATCACCCATGTTTCTGCCATTTTCTAAAATTGTATAAACTATATGAAAGTCTCTTTGAAAACACTGAACTTCATTCGCCAACAAAAACCTGCCAAACTTCAAGGTAGCCACTATCAATTATGTCAATTATCATCTTGGCACTCTCACCATTTTCACTTTAGAGACTATGTTTAATTTTAAGTGTCACCTTGGTAGAGTCACAAGATGATCACATATTTGGTTAAATATTATTCTGAGTGTTTCTGTAATGGTAATTTTGGATGAGATTAACATTTATATCAATAGACTAAGTAAAGCAGAATCAGAGTCAACTTAATTTAGTTGAGTCTCATCCAATCAGTTGAAAACCTGAATTGAAACAGAAAGGTTGACCTTCTCCTGAGTATGAGGACTCTTCTGCCTGACTGCCTTGGAACTGGGACATCAGCTTTTTTCCTGCTTTCTGATTCAAATGGAAACACTGGCTCCTCCTGGATCTCATTCTTTTGGACTGAAATTGGAAGTAAACCATCAGTTCCTCCTGGGTTTCCAGCTTACCCATTCACCCTGCAAATCTTGGGATTTGCCCAACTCCATGGCTGCAGAAGGGCTTCCCAGGTGGTGCTGGTGGTAAAGAACCTGCCTGCCAATGCAGGAGAGATGGGGGTTCAATTCCTGGGTCAGGAAAATCCCCTGGAGGAGGGCATGGCAACCCACTCCAGTATTCTTGCCTAGAGTATCCCTGGCGGGCTACAGTCCATAGGTCACAAAGAGTCAGACACGACTGAAGTAACTTGGCATGCATGCACATAGCTGCATAAGCTAATTCTTTATAATAAATCTATTTACACACACACACACACAACCCCTGTGGGTTCTGTCCTTGGATAGCTTGACTAACAGAACAGGTGAAGACAATGAGGCACAAACAAGTTCAGTAACCTATCCTTAGTTTCACAGAGCTAAGATGCAGAAAACTCATCCAATCCAAGAAATCTGGCTCCACGATCTGTGCCTGTCAGCATTTCACTCTAAATTTATGATAGACACGTTCCACGAGTAGTGCACATAGATTTATCTTGTTTTGAGGGAGAATGAATAGCATGTATAGGGCATATACTTCCAAGCATTCTAACATGAGTGAGGTGAATGGGCATTTATGTTGTTTTTAAAGCATTACTAACAATGCTGTAATAAGCATCCTTATATGCCTATCTTTATAATTTTTTTCTTTTATTTATGTAGCACAAATTCCTAGCCATGTAATTTATATGTGAAAGAGTACATGCATTTTCAAGTTTAACAGATGTAGAGAAATTACTTTCATTAAGAACTGTACCAATTTATATTCTTGACAAAAGTATATGACAGTGCCCTTTCTTGTTTTAAGGTGTGATTATGTGTATGGTTCCTAACTATATAACCTTTTTTTAAATTGAAGGATAAATGCTTTACAGAATTTTGTGGTTTTCTGTCATAAATCAGCAAGAATCAGCCATAGGTACACCCACGTCGCCTCCCTCCCAAACCTCCCTCCCACGTCTCTCCCCATCCCACCCTTCTAGATTTGAACATTCCAGCAGACTACTGAACTATGGTAATTCCTGATAATAAATTCCCTTTTGGCTTAAATTAGTTACAAACATCATCAAACCAGTTCTGAACAACAAAACTGATAATATGTGTCCAAAAACTCAATTATTTTGTCACCCAGATTCATGCCCTCAATCTTATCTAAGCCATAAGGTCTTGTGAGGTTTTTTGGTTGTTGTCATCTTTCAGTACTTTATACCTAAGTCAAACATACTATCTATATGGAAACGTGTTGGTCCGATCATCTTACAGATCTACAGAAAAAGAAAAGAACTATTCCAGCTAGACAAACTTTTTGGATCTTTTGTAGTAGCACAAGCATTCTTCTAGGTGCTGCTAATTCATCTGGATCATGAATTAGAAAAGGACAACATCAAGTCCAATAGAATCTACACTCTATTACATTTTTCCATCTTGATTCACTGGTACTTGGGCCAGTCTCTTGGATTCTTTTGTATCTCTTAGATTTTCGTATTCTGTAGAATATTATGCAAATACTACAGTAACTTTTTTTTCTATGAAAAAAGAATAATAACAATTTCCCTCAATGTGCAACTCTGAATATCGTTTCTTTAAAAAAAGATTTCCCCACTTGATAGACTAATTTAAAGATACTGCTAACATTTTACTATCCTTGAAGTATGATTCACAAGAACAATGGTCAAGAAAGAGATCTGGTATTTTAGTTCAATTTCTTCCCCTTGCTTTTTGTGTGAACTTGGGCAACTCATTTACATAGGACTCAATTTCATTTTCAATATGTGATAATTATATTTAAGTATATTTAAATTTCCTTTTAGCTCAAAATTTTTATAATGCATTAAGAAGTCTTAACACGTGTTTGTATTTCTGAATGTCCTATTTCCTTTGCTATCATTATTCTGTTGTATTGAAAGCTCAAAGGAGGAAGAAATTGTATCTGTTTAACTCATTTGGTATAGGATAGTACTAAGGGGCTTAGAAAATGCTTTAAATTATTATGACAGGCTAGTAACAATATAATTTGCAGGGATTCCAATGTGTATCAGAAACAGAGAGAAGTGAACTTTTAAAAAACTTTATAGAAACAAGTCTGAGAAATCATGTAAATCAAAACAGTCTTTCAATAGCAATAAAAAGACACAGTTTTAGGACAAGGCACTAATTGACCTCTGAATCCCATGAAAATAAAACCTTGACTGAGCCCAAAATGTCCTTTGCACTAATATCAAGACCTATAGAGGAAAACTGTCTGCAAAGAATGAATTCCACTGTATTATCAGCAGTGTGCTCTAGGGAAACTAGCTGCATTGGGAATTTTCCTACAGAGGGATTTTATTACATAGAATAATTTACCTTCAAATGAAAAAGTAGAAGATATACTAAAATTTAAGCTTTTAAAAGACAAGAACTATAAAGACAGCCCCATGCATTCAGATCATCTATCACAAATGTAACCAAAGTCTTCCACAGACATTTTCTCAGTGGCTAAAAAAGCTTAAATGCCTTTTACTTTTCAAAAGAAAATATCATCATTGCTTCAATTTTTCCCAGTATACCCAGTTCTCTAAAGAAAAGCTAAAATTTCCAAAGAATGTTCATTATCTATAAATAATACATATTTTCCTAGGTATCACCCTAAGCATCCCAATTCAAATGATTTAGAAATCCATGCAGATTAAATGCGTGCATGCCAAGTCGCTCCAGTCATGTGTGACTCTGTGCAACGCTATGGACTGCAGCGCCCCCCACCCCAGGCTCCTCTGTCCTTGAGGATTCTAGGCAAGAACACTGGAGTGGGTTGCCATGCTGTCCTTTAGGGGATCTACCTGACCCAGGGATCGAACCTGTTTCCCTTCTGCCTCCTGCGTTGGCAGGTGGGTTCTCTACCACTAAAGATTAAATAATCCCATGTAAAATGTCTAATATCAATGCGATATAAAAGCAAGCCTGGGAAAATCACAACTTGGTGACCACATTACAGGGAAAGTCTCCTGCTGCATAGTTGAAAGTCATGCTGAATATGACAACAAATTTTTAACTCACTGTTAGTTAGGCAGCTAATACATCTTTCAAGCTGTGGTTGTTAGGCATAACAATAGTTGCTAAATTACCAACATAAGGGAAGGCACTG